AATAGCATTGATATTCGAAGATCTCTAAAAATGAGGGTGAATAGGGAAGGAATATGGAGAAATCTCTTATGTCCTTTAATAATTCTCTATGTAGGAGTTGGTGCCCTCTTTTTTTTTTTAATACTCTCAGGGTGGGGTGGGATGCATTTTTGGAAAAAATCCCCAGGTGATTGATACTAACATCCCCAGTTCCCCTATTGATTTTTGCTGATGAGTTGTGTTGAGACAATCAAGGTTGTTTTCTGTTCCATGAATGTTTTCACTGTATCTGTATGTGTGTGTGTGTGTGTGTGTGTGTGTGTGTGTGTGTATATATATATATATATATCAGTGAGTAAAAATCAGCAGAGCATTTTGAAGTGGTATAAATTCTAGGGTTCTGAGCAAGTTTCAGTAATGGGTTATCGGGACTAGTGTCAAGTTGAATTTTTGAAGATCTGTTGGCCAGATATCCCAGTGTCACTTGCAAATGTCTTCTTGTGAAAATTAAGTGCCAAATGGTGGCGATTATAATTGCCTAGAATGTAAGGCATCAGAGGAGCTGTTTTTTTTTTTTCAGTCTTTCATGATTGCCCCCCCCCGACTTCCTGCTGCCTCAACAACCATTTTTTGGGTAGTGCATTTGGGTGCCCTGTTATCTTTCTCCCACTCCTCCCTTTTTTCTGGTGATTTTAAAATTTTCTTTCTATTGCTGAGAAAGACTCCAAAAGGAGAGCAAAACCTTTTTAAAAGTCAGATTAAAGACTTAAATGTAAGACATGAAACCCTAAAAATCCTAGAAGAAAACATAGGAAAAACTCTTCTAGACATAGGCTTGGGCGAAGAATTTATGACTAAGACCCAAAAAGCAAATACAGCAACAACAAAAATAAATGGCCCTTAATTAAATCAAAAACTTTTTGCAAAGCAAAGCAAATAATCAACAGAGTAAACAAGCAACCTATAGAATGGTAGAAAATATTCGCAAACTATATATCCGACAAAGGGCTAATATCCGGAATCTACAAAGAACTCAAATCAGCAAGAAAAAAAAAAAAACAACATGAAAAAGTAGGCAAAATACATAAACAGATTTTTTTCAAACGAAGATAGACAAATGGCCAATCAACATATGAAAAAATGTTAAACATCAATAATCATCAGGGAAATGCACATTAAAACCACAATGATATGTCACCTTACCCCTGTCAGAATTGTCATTATTAAAAAGTCAAAAAGCAACAGATGCTGATGTGGATGCAGAGAAAAAGGAACACTTACACATTGTTGGTGGGACTGCAAACTAGTATAATCTCTATAGAAAGCAGTATGTAGATGCCTCAAAGAGCTAAAAGTAGACCTACCATCGATTCAGCAATCCCACTACTGGGTATTTACCCAAAGGAAAAGAAGTCATTTTATCCAAAAGACACTTGCACGTGAATATTTATTGCAGCCCAATTCACAGCTGCAAAGATGTGGAATCAACCCAAGTGCCCATCAATTCATGAGTGGATAAAGAAAATGTCATGTATACGTGTATACACCATGGAGTACTACTCAGCCATAAAAAGGAATGAAACAATGTCTTTTACAGCAACTTGGATGGAACTGGAGACCATTATCCTAAGTAAAGTATTTGAGGAATGGAAAAACAAATACCATGTTCTCACTAGTAAGTGGGAGCTAAAGGATGGGCATACAAGGGCACAAAGAGATGTAAAGGACGTTGGAAACTAGGAATGGAGAGATTGGGAGGGGGAGAGGGATAAACACTTATCGGGTACAACGAACACTATCCTGCTAATGGGCACACTGAAAGCCCATACTTCAGAATTATACAGTGTATCCATGTAACAAAAACATTTGTACCCCCTTAATATTTTGACATTAAAAAAGTCATAGTCTAGAGGCATTTAAAGTTGCAGCAGGTACTCTTCCTTATTAGATGGTCATTTATGTCAGAGGTCCTATTTGTATGAAAAATAAAAATGAAAAGAGATGTCCACTTAGCATTAGTGACTTTCTGATTTCCGTACCTACATTTTTAAGATGATATGGTTTTATTGTTCTCTATTAGGGAGCCACTTTATCTATCTTGGGTGACCAGGCTGACTTGAGAATGCAGTTTGGCGCATGAATAAAATGGGACACGGTGTTCATTTGCAATTTTATTTTTTAAAAATGAAATATTCAAAGTACTTTTCTTTCAAATATCGACACATTAATGTTTAACTTTAAATATTTACAGCATGTTGTTGTGATGCTCTTGTAGAAAAATGCATGCTTCTGGCCTGAAAGCCAGAGCAAAATGCAAAAGACCATTTAACTGCAGCCAGAGAACATGAACCTGTACAGTATCCAGTCACTTTTCAGCACAGGAGTGAGAGCAGGAATACAAAATTGGAACCTATTGTTTCTTAGCAACATGGCTCAGGCCATTATAACACAATTTTCAGTATGATTAGAACCTCTAACTGTTGTTACATAGAAACTGAACATCTTGGCATACACTGTAAACATCTTTACTTTTCATGAGAAAGTAAGCAGCTAAAAAGAATATTTTTCTGACGTAAAGGCTATACTTCTCTTTTTTGCCTTCTCTCTTACTGATGCTTTTGCCAGAAGAATAGTAAAGATTAAGACATTGTCATGATTCATACAAGTAAAATATTTTTCAAGGACACAATCTGATATACTAACATTTATTTAAGAGGTTAAAGTCCACCACTAAATCTAAGGAAAGATTTTAAACTGCCAAACACATTTCCTTTGACAAATAATGTAAGATGACAACTGCCAAGACAAAATCCACAGCAAGATTAACTCTAAGTATTTTCAGTTACTGTTTAGGAAGTAATTTCTTCTTATACACAGTAGTATATTTGGTCCTTAATAGCTTTCACATGAAGGACACACTGAAGTAATAGTCACTATTTTGTGGTTTAATTCTTTTTTGTTGTTTATTTTCTGTGTGTTTTTTTGTTTTCCTTTGCTTTTTTTTGTTTGTTTTTTTCTTTCTTTTTTCTTTTTTTTTCTTTTTTTTTTGTTTTTGTTTTTGTTTTCTTTGCACAATAAAGAACCTTTACAGAAGGCTGTGGAAAAGCTGAAGTACTAGTCAGGTCAGCTATGTGTATTTGAGTTCCTTTAAGAATGCAACAATAGTACATCTAATCTGTAGCCTTATGTCTTTCCACAAGCTATAATACACTCCCATCTCTCCCAATTTTTCTTTCAATCCTTGGTTACTATACTTTTGCTTCCATTACCACTGAACTCCACTACAATTGCTCTTACATGAACAGATCTTTATAAATGCAAAAACTTTGCCCTGACTCTCAGGTGATATTACAGCAGGGCCTGGTCTAGTTAAAAATATATTTAAGAAAAAATGGAAAAAGAGTAGCAATAACATGATGGAATGCTTGAAATTGTGTCAAGAGTGATGAAAAAGTCTTATGAAAGTTATAACTCAATTTTATACCTCTTTATGTAGGTAGCACATGAATGCCAAATAATACATTGTCAAGTTTTCATACATTTGGCTATGTCATATATATCATATTATATCATATTATATATATGTATTCTCTATATTATAGATCTTCTAGATAAATCGACAGTAAAGGGCACGCTTATTTTGTACATTTTTGGGGGTTAAAAATAAAACATATACTTATTTATATGATGTTTGGTTGAAAGTTAGTATGAATTGAGCTTTAATTCCCATTCCTTCAGAGTCATGCTTCTAATCAATAATGATTAGGATGACAACTAAAAATAAACATATTTGAATGTCTGTTAAACTTTGAACTTTTCAGTTCCTTTGTATCTCTAGACTATAGTGCAAGAGTCAAAACAAAACAGAAAAACACAAACAAAATGGGCTTAATTAGGAAAAAGAAACAACCATGGAGTATTCTCTGCCTCCAGCCCAGAATGTTCTTCATAGGAGAGTCCAACTACTGTGCTCTCACTTTAACTTACTTGAATGGTGTGTGACTGTGCAGTGTCAGCCACCTGTATGGCTGGGTATGAGAAATTCATATATTTCTCTGAAAACATTTTTACTTCCATCAGGAAATGTACATGAATTGTTCTTTCATTAATTTAAACTTCAGAACTACGAGTCGATGAAGGCATTCTTTCTATCCAGTTGAATAGGAAGCAATGTACTCAATATCTCCATGTTCTTATTAAGAAATGCCAAAATGTTTCTCTTAGATTTACTACTCATTAGTGCTAACCTTTTGGTTTTTTTCTTTCCTCCCCAAAACTTTAGGAGTTGTAAAAAGAACAGTAATAGTTCAAGGCAGTATTAAAACCACAGCTGTAAGTGATAAAAAGTGCATTTCCTGAATATAATACAAATATAACTTCAAGAAACTAAAGGCACAAACTAACTAAATATGTATTACAAACTAGAAATGCACAGTTCAAGGTAATTACTATTAAGTAAAAGCTTCAAATATTTGTTTCTAATGGATATTTAAAGCAGTTTGAAAATGTTACATCATTAGTGAATTGCAAAAAGTATAATTGCTTAAAATATAAGCAAAATAGACTCTAATATTGACATCTTGGATTAGTGATAAAATACATCATCACATTTATGAATGCACTCTCTATATACAGTTCACAAATTATTTTTCCATTAATTTAAAAGAACATCAGAGGTTCTAGGAACTTAAGGTCCATTTTTAGGTTGGTGTGGAGGTATTCAAATTTTCAACAAGTTTGTTAGTAATTTTAGAATGCCATCCTGAATAAAAACCATACCATTAACACAGGCCTGATTCAGGAAAACCCCAATAATATGATTTTAGTCTGGATTAGCAATATCTTGAGCTGGTGTGTTTCCAATTACAAAGAGAGATTAATTCATCGTGAATTCTCTCTTCCTCCCTCCCCCACCTCTCTGTGCATCTCTCTTTTTCTCTCTCTCCTCAGAATACATGTGTAAGAATGTGGTAATCCAACCTGAAGGTTTTGAAAATGAAATGTTTGCCCCCCCCCCGCTGTCTGCCCGTGTCCTTTCCTTTCCCTCACTCTTCTTTGTGTAGCAGGAGGCAAACTCTTTAAAAACCTTAACACGAGCCTGGCTTCTGACTTTGCATATTTTCAAAGAAACTGTCATCACAAAGCAACTCAATGACCCCATACTGCATTTAGGCAGTAGCTGGAAAGAATCCAAACTAACATTCCATCATAAATTCTCCTTCAGACATAGCAAATGTTCAGACTTGGTGATGAAAGTACAGAAGCTGGCTCAGGGGAATTTTCTACAGGCCACATTGTGCTGTCATGTATTTTCATTTGTGATAACTTACAATTACACAGCATTTTACAAACTGTCTCTTTGTCACTGGGCACAAATCTTCCAGCTCACCAAGGGGCTTCTCAGGAGTCCTAGAGATTGAGAAACTGCTGCTGATATTAACACTAATCCTGACCTTTCTCCAATTTTTAAATGATCACGGAACAAATAACCTATCTTGGAATATAGTAACTTTCCTAGGCAGGAAAGATGATTAAACAAAAATAAACGGGTAAAGGTGGATAACTAAAATAACTGACCATAAAAATTGTGTTAGTAAAAACTAGTCTGCCTCTCTTTAATTAGTTGAAATGTTTGAAGTTGGAAAGGATTCACCTGATTCAAGTTCCTGAATATGACTAGGAGATGTTCAATACAGAATTGTACATTTGAAAGATAAATCTAAGTGGGCTGAAACAACGTGGCAGAAACTGCTGTGATGTTTGGTCTGGTCTTCCCTTTGGTATTTTCATTTTAGTATTAGGTCTATTTTTTTAAGGTTTTGAATCTTATGAATTTCTGCAGTAGTAGTTACTATATTTATTGGTATCTCAGGCATGTATACCTGCTAAAGCCTCGTTTTTTTTTTTTTGTACCAGAATCATACTTTTTAGTAAATTACCTTTCATGTGCACAAAACCATTGAATTAGTGTATAAATACTGAATCACCAATGTGAAACTATGACCAAAACACACCCTATATATAAATGAGAAATTCCTACCCAGGTTAATAAAAGCTATGTTTACATGACGCCAATACAGCTGGACAATTTGATAAAAAAGTTTAGCCAAAACAGGTTGTCTGAGAGACGTCACATCGGCCAGCTGCTTTGGTATCATGTACACACCAAGCAAATAGTGGCTATTCAGTCTGGTTCCCACACCCACGGGGAAGCATGGTAGACAGAATCCAGCCACCACACGCCAAAACACAGCACAACAACATGGCATTTACTTTAACAAGCAAGGAGGAATAAACAGGGAGGAAGGGCAAATGGGTCCTGACTCTAGGAGATGGTGGCTGAAGACATTTTACACTTCTTTTTAAGTTTCCTATAACAGATCCAGAAAATGTGAAAGAGCTGGCAGTCTTTCGTAATGCACGGTTCAGATACTATTGCACCACCTTTTCAAATAGCCTGCAAATTCTGCCAGCAGTTAAGTATGAAACTTCATGTCACAATAGAGATAGAGAACCTTGTGTTCTTTCCGGATATTGGAACATATGCATGGCTCGACACATTTAAAGTGGTGCTTTCAGAAAACTGTTTTTAGCTGTTTAAGTTCTACTTGTGTTATTTTGAATACTGCCACACAAGAACTAAAAATCTCTGTCATTTCTTAAAGAGTTTAAACAAACAATATTAAAATACCATCTTCCGTCACATTGAAAGGCAGTTGGATATGTTTTTCCTCCATATTTACATATACAGAGTTCTGATCTAGAAAACCAATACAATAAACCATTTTATGTTTTAAAAACAGGCAGTCTTTGGTGACGCAAAGGCAGAGATTTTTTTTGTTACCTCCTGCCTATTTCGCTCTGTCTCATAAAGTGAATATTGTTGGCACTGTCAGAAAGTTCTAAATACTGCTCCACAGACAAAACAAAATACCCATCATAACCTTGTACCCTCCCAGTGCTCAAAAGCTGCTGCTTTTCCCCCTCTGTCCATGCCCGAATCCCCTCTTCTCCTTCTTGCAGCCTTCTTTGTTCCTTAGTCCAGGCCTGGGCCACAGCGCGTTGTCTGGCGATCTCCAACACATGATTCTTTTCTTCTTCGACAGTCGTCCCATACCGGATGTTGAAGCATAGGGCCCCGTGCTGGAGCTGAATATCTGCAAACCGTCTAGTCCTCCCATTCAACACAGAAGTCATCTGGGACACTGTGACATTGACACCATTCTCCAGAATCCGCCTCCCCCCAGTGTTACCGATGAGCACCAGGTCTTCCTCCAGAGACCCAAGCTTAATGAAATAGTGAGTGTCCCTCCCCTCTATGGTAAAATGTAGGTTTTCCAGGTAATGAGCATTATTAAGAATGGCAGCAAGCCGCCTGCTATCTTCATTAGCTACTCCTATAATATCAGCCGTGACTATGCCATCCTTGATGGCAAATTTTATACCTTTTCCAAAGACAGAAGGGACAGCAGCAAACCTTGGTTGCTTCCCTCCTTCAAGGCACCGTCCATCATTATATCGGGGAGTCATAGGAAGTTGGTCCAGGGAAATGAAATTCCTAAGCTGTTTCTGGAGCTCACACTGAATGCCCAGGATTGTCTAGAAAAGAAGAAAGGCACGGTGCAAATGCAACACAGTGTTAGACACCTGTCATACGCTTGGTGGTTGTGGAAAGGACAGGCTTGCAAAGTTGCTTTCTTCTCTCTTTAATTTGTCAGAGAGTGATTTAAAAACAAGCCAAATTTGGAATCTTTTCATCAGGGATTTTGAAAAGAAAGACTAACAGGTGACTGACTACGTAGCATTGGTTTTTATATATGGTGCATGTGATATTTTGATACAGGCATACAGTGTGTGATAAGCAAATCTGGGTAATTGGGGTATGTATTACCTCAAGCATTTACCATTTCTTTGCCTAGCATTCTTATATCTTAGTGGAGTTAAGCATAAGGAAATATGTTCAAACTTGATATCATAAAATTTCAGAGCTAGAAGGAACTTTAAGTGGGTCAAGTTCCTTCCAAAAACAGACATTTTATTTTCACCAATATCACTGACACTGACTAGATGTTATTACTATACTCTACATACAGTAATAACTGTACTCTACATACAGTAATAATATCTAGGGTGACATGTAAGGCATAAGCTTTCAACAGCTTATGACATTATAAATAACTATGGCAAATGAGCAAGAAGTTCTTCAATCTTTTTCATGGACTTAAGAAAATCCTTTTTATTTTCACAATTTTCAAACATATTAAGAAATAAAGAGAAAAGATGAATAAACCTGCAAATATCCATTACGAAGCTTTAGCAATTTTCAATATTTTGCTAAACTTTTTTTGGTAGGACTTTAAACTACAAAAAGTATTTATATATCATATGTATTTACAAAAATGGAGAAGCCTACAGTATGTATTTAGAATTTCCTTTGCCTTATAATTTTTTAGACTTAAGTTTCTAGCCCTCTCACTCAAATTTCAGTTTTAGTTAAAACCATTTTTTTTTGCAGACACAGATATTCCTGTTTCTTTCAATTCAAAGAAAACGTTCCTTTTTGTTTTCATTTGTATCTCATACTTCTGATGAAATCATCTGCTAAATCTCAAATGTTTTGGTGCTTCTATTTTTTCTTTTCTTTTCTTTTCTTCTTTTTCTTTTCTTTTCTTTTTTCTTTTTTTTTGAGAAAGGGTCCTGCTCTGTCACCTGGGCTAGAATGCAATGGCATCATCATACCTTGCTGCAACCTCAAACTCCTGGGCTCAAGTGATCCTCCTGCTTTAGCCTCCCAAATAGCTGGGACTACAGGTGCACACTACCACACCTGGCTAATTTTTCTATTTTTTTGTACAGATGGGGTCTTGCTCTTGCTCAGGCTGGTCTCAAACTCATGGTCTCAAGAGATTCTCCTACCTTGGTCTCCCAAAGTGCTAGGATTATAGGCCTGAGCCACCGTGCCTGGCCTGGTGTTTCTACTTTTCCAGAGACTTTATCCCTGTAGTATTTATTATTTTTGCTTCACTGCGCATGTATATTTTTTCTTTATCAGAATAATTTTATTTTGGTATTCCCATGCTCTTAGGGTACCATGTTCTAAGTCAGTCTTCATTTGGAAATCTGATGTTTTATATCTTTTAGTGAACAATTTTCTCTATATAGAATCCATAATTGCTCTTGGTAGCCTATTTCAAATTTTAAAAGTTCAGTTCCTCTTTCCTCTTGTTTATCTATTGCAGCAGCCATTAAGTAACCTGTTAGTCTTCTCTTTCCCCAAAGCTCCAATTCTCTGGTCTTTTCCTCATGAATCTTTTTTTTCTACCTCCTCATTAATCATGTAAATTTTAGTGAATATTTAAAAAGATTAAAAAATAAGCAAATATATGTAGCTACCATTTTATGGTATTGAATGCTGTTCTGTTTTTTTCAGCTAAATAGAGACGGGAAAACTTTTACTAACCTTTCCAGGATCCCACTCTTGAGTTTTTGTCTGAAGCTGTAGAAGCTCATAAGTTACTTCCAAATTTTCTAATTCTGGTTTGGGAAATCCAGGTAGTACATTGTGTAACTGGAAACCAAATAGCTCCAACCAACTTCCGATGTCTGTGAGACACAAAATTTAAAAGAAAAAAATTTTAAAGTCTATACTTTACAACCTTTGTTAAAAACCTGAATGGTGCCCCTCCTGCCTTCAATATGTTTAGGCAATGGGAAGTTAAGGATAAACCACCCCTGCTTATATGATCCACCCTAAAACACATGATCCTCTCCCTACAAGGAAAACTTCTGACTTGTGGATAATGCCAGAGATAGGTTCAGTTTACTACATTGAAGCTCTTAATGTGATAGTGGTACTAAGGCCACATGGATCATAATACTAGATTTCTATGATACAACACAATTCTGAATTTTTCCTTGATGAAATTATTCATATAAGCTTTTGAGAGTGAAGCATAGAAACAGAGACAGCTTAAAAGGAAAGAAAAAATATAGTGGGATCCAAAAGCTTCACCTTTTACGTTAATGTACATGTTTTGCTCACTCTAGAAAACTAAAGAAGACAGTGAATGCAGGATAACTTGTGGGCTAACTGGCAGGAAGAGGAAGCATATTTACAAAGGCATTGAGGCTATGTGATAAAACAAACAGCACTGAGTTATCTCAAGTTTAAAGTCTTACACCATTTAAATACCTGTGGTATACTTTGCAACATCTTGAATTTTGCCAACTGGGTAGTTATTCTCAAAGGAGTAGAGGTTGAATGGTTTAGGAAGGAGGTTCAGCTGTTTCCATATGTGATGATTAGGTGTTGTCCATCTGCCAGCGACAACATCATAATCCCTTTGCCCCAGGTGCACTAATTTAGTAAGGAAATCATAGAGGCCTCCATGAAAACCAATGATGACCTGAAAGTCAGGGTAAGTGTCATGATAGATATCGCCATAAGGTGTGTACAATATCTCTTTTATGACCTGACCTCGACTACTGAACACAGCTAGTGGTGTGCCTGTATTATCACAGGCTACATAATATTCTTCACCACTGCTTAACTCCATGGCAATAAGGTGACCTTGGAGATCATAATACAGAGATGTAATCTCTGAGCTCGTGTGGTTGTACAAATGAGTAACTCTTATGGGGTTGGCAAGGTCTGCATAAAAGAACTGGAGGTGCTGCCCTAGGCTGGACTTACTGGCGACGCGTCGCCCAAGCCCATCATAGTAATACTGCACAGTCCAGCCAGAAGCCTTATTATAGGCTTTCTGCAGCAGACCATTAGAATTATATTCAAATACATCATTTCCCCTCTGCCTCAGAAAGCCATCTTCATCCATTTTATACTGAATTTCTCCTAGTCTGGTGATGCGGTCTCGGAGGTCATATCGGAGAGGAGTGAGACGAGCACTATTCCCATGGCTTAAGAGGTTGATGTTTCCATTCAGATCATAACTATAACGCCACTGGGTTTTGTCATTTACAGAAACGGTCTGAAGTTGTCCATCAGCATCGTATTCATAATAGTACCTTGTTATATTGGCATCTACTCCTACCCTTATGTCACATATTACCATACGGCCCATGTTATCATATTGAATAGTCATCCAGTAGGCGATTGCCTTTAGGATTTCATACTGGACTTCAATGACTTGTCCATTGGCATTGAAGATCTTGGTGTGCTTCATCACTGTAGTAGTTATGACCTGATTTAAATCGTAATTAATCACACTGAATTTTCCAAACTGCTCTGTTCTACCAGAGACATCAACATATCGGTACAGATCTATGGGCAAAGGGGTTTCATTGATCACAGCTTGCATGCTGGTGACACGGAAGTTGTTGTAGCTGTAGTCAAACCGTGCATTCACAAGACCTTCTTCACTGAATCTGAAAATCTGGCGTCCAATAAGAGGTCCTGTGGGAACCAAAATGAAAATGAGAAAAAAGTTTAGGGGATTAATGTGGAACAGTCAGTCAGAAAGGTCTAGTGTTATTTTATTTAGTATTGATCCTTTTACATTCAAAATTTTTAAATATGGAGATTAATCTTTGATATCTAATGCCTGGGGATAGCATCTTATAGAGATATATTCTCATAGTGGTAGTCACCAAATATGGAAAAACATTAAAATACTGTTTAGTATTAGTTATAGAATAATTTAATTATAGAAACTACATTAGTTTCGAAACCCATCCAGTAGCCTGAGGTGATGAAACTGATTTATGAACATGCTTTCTTGCTATAATCACTGGCAAAAAATGCTTTCATCTCATTTACTCTTTGCTACAAAGTCATAGGGTCAGGTTCTGACAAAGTCCAGCATTAACGCAACTGGATTTGGGCATTTTATAAACCCAAAGGATGAAATGTATTTGAAAGTCTTGACTTTTGAAGATATTTTGTCATCAATTGAGGCTCACAGAGGTTACACAGGGCTTGAACTAGTTTCAGTGAGACTCATATCTTGCAGCTGCATCTTTGGGAAGATTTAGTGGTGAGTTGGAATGGGTCTACAGTTACACCAGGCACTTAGATCTCAACTTTCTTGAGAGCTGAGAGAAAGAAAGAAAAATGCACTGTATGTTTTTAAGAAATCAGCCTTCATCAGACATGTTTTAAATTTCCAATGGCAGATAATTTGATAAATAAAGTGAAAGTTTGTTGGATTGAATGTGTGTAGGTTAATGTTTCTATCTCAGACTGCAGTCAGCGAAAACTTCACAAGAAAATACCGATGTTGCATGCATTGCCACTCTTTCATGACAAACCTGTTTGCCTGTATCTGATTGTGCAGATGAATCCGTCGTGCATCAGGTGTATCGTCTTAATCACTCCAGACGACTCTTCATATGTTAATGTCACCTGGGTGGTATCATAGAGAATCTCAGATAGCCTTGCTTGCTTAGTGTACTTGTACAAAACTCTGCGCCCTGTCCCCAGATGCAGGGTCTGTAGCAGTCGGCCATCTCGACTGTAGTCTTGGATAAAAGAAGTGCTACTGTCTGGTGGGGTGTAGATGTTCCGGTAGTAGCCTACTGAAAGCATGGTTTGGAAGCTGTGGCGCACCATACTAGGCATGGTGACTGAGAGCAGACAGTCCGATTGGTCATACTCAAAGATGTAACGCCGCTGGCTGTGTAAGAGAAGCATCACCGACTGAAACGAGACAAAGGCAGAATAGAATAATATGAATAATCCCCCTCACTAAAGTTGAGGGGATTAAGGAAAACACACATTTCTCCATGCGACACAAATTTATTGAGCACTTACTATGTGTCAGGCACTGTGGCACACCCTAGTGGATACAGTAGTGCACAGTAATGGTGTCTATCTGCAAACTCATAGTTTAATGGAGGAGAAAGACAAGTAACCGAGCAATTACAATATAGTATGAAATGTGTTATGCCACGAGAAATACAGAGAGCTTATGGGAGATAGAGGAAGAGTATCTAATTCAGACTTAAGAGGCCGGAGAAGGCTTCTTAAAGAAAGTGACATTTAAGTTGAGACCTAAAGGATGAGTAGGGGTTGGCCAGGGGAAGCCAAGGAGGCTGGTGGGGCAGTGGTAAAGAGAAAAAAAAAACTGTTGGCAGAGAGCACAGCATTGTGAAGGTGAATATGTAAATATGAGATAACATGGCTTTTTCAGAGAATGAGGGGGATTTTGTGTGGCCAGAGATAGGTGTGTTGGAGGTAGAGGATGGGGTGGTGAATGGCCAGAGATGAGGCCAGCTAGGTAGGCTGGGTCCAGATCATGCCGGAGTTTCTAAGCCACATTAAGGAGTTTCGACTCAAACTCACTGAGCATGTTGGCAATAGAGAACCATTGAAGGGTTTTAAGCAAGTTAAGGGACAGGGTGCTTGCAGAGCTGGGAGAAACTCTCAAGTTGGTATTTTGGAAAGGTTATTGTCACTTCAGTGTAGAGATGGTAAATGGAGGGCAGAGCATGTCACATATTAACTTACAGTTACCAAAAAGTATTTATTGGCTTCACATAGCAGATGTCTTCCTAAAATTTGCATATAAAATATTATTACAGTATTATTTTGCAATTTGTATTTGAACTTCACTCTTCAATTCATGTTTTAATATTAGGAGAGCATGCCGTTAAAGTGAAGAATTCTCTGGTCATGCAACCTCTCTCCTCCAAACTGATCTGCATTTCAGAAACAGTTATTTGTTGAGGTATAATGCCTAGTATGTAATAGGTGTCTCAAAAATATTGGTTAATCTTAATTCTAAATATAGACCTAAAAGGAGCACTGTTTAGGGAGGACTCTAATTTACTGATATGTAAATCTCATCTTTTAATAAATATAAAACAACATTCACCCCTGGAGATTCTGATATAGCTCCCTAGGGAAGCTTCACCTCTATCCTTTTGAAAATTACCTTATCAAACAGAAGGATTTAGTTGAGCTTTATTTTCTGAAGTTTGTGCTATGAAAACAAAAGGGATTTTTTTCATTTTCCACACACAAATTACACATTTATGAATGTGAATTACATATGTAATGTACATTAAATCTTTTAAGTATTAAATTATGTTATGGTATTGAATGTGCTTTTTGAAACTGTATATTCTTCCTACCCCTCTGAGAATTTTTGATTTTGAATTTTGAGTCAGTTCCATGAAGTGAAAGTCAGTGGTTGTTTGCTCGTTCATTCCTTCTTTCCTTTCCATCAACACTATCCCAGGAGAGCCAGAGGTGAGTGCAGAAATCTTGTCACCTCATCATCTGTGAACAACCTGCAGCTTGCCACAGCCTGCAGTTCTACCATGGCAACCTCTGAAAACCCTCCTGAACAAAAGGCAGGAGACTTGGAAATCCTGAGTGGGCCTGAGGACAGGAAGGGAGAACTGTTTCTTTTGACCAAAGCAAAACTCAATAGAAGCAGCAAGGAATTTTCCTATGAATGGGGCAGCAGGTGGCAGGGGGCAGGGACAGAGAGGTTTTATACAGGATTTGGTGGAAAATGCCTTTGCATTATCTCTTTGCTGAAAGTCACATTTCTCAGCTCCTTTCTATTCCCTTCTGTCAATTTGCCATGAGCAAATGACATCTGTCACCTTGTGATGCGGCCAGGGACAATCACCATATGGTCCCCACACATTATCTAGTACCAGTCTGCCTGGGCCATGCCTTTTCCAGTCGCTGTACCAGCGTTGCCAAGTATTTATAGCACATTGTTATTATATTCTCTGCCCCAGTGTCATCCTGTGGCCTGCAGTAAACCACTGCCTGAACCTTGTTCCTAGGTGATGCTGATGCGGGACTGTCTGAAAAACTCCTTGGTCTGTTTGAAAGCTTCCTGCCAATGACAAGAATGTGGATGACGCGATTAGAAATCGTATGAATGCAACTGTTGTGTTGCCAGAATATCATTTAGCTTTCATTTGGCTACTTTCTCACTTTGGGTGGGTATTATTATCAGTTTGTTCAAAAACAATGCTTATGAGTCCATCCAATGTCCACAGTGTTGCTACAGGATAAAAGGCCATTTCTTATTAGTCCAAATAATAGAATGGGAGACTTTTATTCCTTTTGATTGTGAAAGCCTAAAAGATATCATTGTAAAGAAAAAAACCAGAACAATCACGGCTGTATACTTAATTCAGACAAGAATAGAAATGAGAACAGAAATTTGAAAAGTGAAAGCATTTGAATGACCACCAGATGGCAGTGTGGGGCCATCTAGAAGCTCAAGCCAAAGACTGCATTCTCTAAGCAGCCTTTGAAAACTTTAGCCCCAAAGAGGCAATTTCTGTAAATGTATGACTAAAATCTTATTTAATGATTATAAAATATATTTAAATGCATTTTAAAAATGAAGTTTGTAAGAATGGTTTTAGGAAACTGAAAGATTTACATTTACTGTAATACAAAATTTTAGCTCCACAAGTCTTCAAAAAATAATTAATTCAGAGAAGTCTCATAAATCAAGACAGAGAATTAATGACCACACAGAGAAAATTTAAGAAACAATAATTGATTTTTTAAATAGAGAAGAGATCATTAAGCAACTGCAGCCATTACCCAAATAATTATTTTTCTTCTAATGGCTACAAACCATTATGCATGAAAATGATATGCATAACTTTTACTTACTCTAGAGAAAGTCAAATTATTTTTACAAAATTTCTGCATGTTAAGGTGAAAAATCTTCTGCTGCTTTTTAATATGTCATGGTATAGATTATGGCAAGCAAATTTATAGAGGTAATACCAGAAGTATTTTGGGGTGTAAAGAGAGAAATACATTTTAAAGCTTGAGAATTCTTAGTTTAAAATACATCACAAGAACCAGCCTCTTTGTCCCTGCTCTGCCCCTGTCACAGTTAAACAATGCACCCGCAAAGGCCATGTTAAAGAGAGGACTGGAAAGAACACAAAGGAGGTGCAGAACTTCATTAAGTCACTAAAAAAGTCACATGTAAATGAGATTTTGGTAAATTCAACCTCTTTCCCTTTTTTTTTCATGAATGACAATTTCAAAGATTCTTTATTCCTTCTTCCCTCTCTCTCTCTCTCTGCTCTTTCCTGTCTTGATTTACCTTCACTAGCTAGCAGTTAAATTCTCTACTTGGGTGCTTTATATTATTTCATTTAATCATCATATCTATTCAGTGAATTAGTTATGATCACTGGTAATGATAATGTTAATAAAATCAATTGTATGATAAATGATTTTTGGAAAGTAAAGAACCATTTCATGATCATGTGTTTTGTAGGTTCTCATTTTACATAATAAGATTGCTTAAATAAGTGGCTATCCTTTTAATTAGAGAATAAATTAAACAGGAAATCAAGAAAGGGACAAAAGGCAACTAAAAGGCACGAATGAGCTGGCTTGTCTCACTGGTCAGGAAGTCACAGGGGCTTGTTTGGATACCCTACTCTGGGTCAGTTAGGTCTTATTTCTGTTCACTGCAGACACAGTCTCATGGAGGTGTTTTTTTTTTTTTTTTTTTTTTTTTTTTTTAAGAATTATTGCCAACTAAGTTTCTATAGCAAAGAGAACTCATGTGAATTTCGTTTCATGTGATTTTTTGCTGAAGTAAATTCGATGAAATAATCACCTAACTCAGAAAAGACAAACAATAAAATCTCCTCTTTGGTGTCAGAAAAGAGGCTAAATAATTGCATGCAGGGCTGAAATCTAAGTCTTCAATAGGTTCTTTTGTTATTGTATAGACAGCCTGAAGGGAAAGTCTTATGAGACCTAGATGCAACTGTCTATAGGCAATTAGCTCAGTTGGTCAGACTCTCGTGCTAATGAGGTTGGAGTTATGAGTACAAACACATGTATGCTTTCTAAGAAGTGCTGCCTACTTAACTAATCACATAGAAGACCTGTGGAAGGATCAGTGCAAACCTGTCCTCATTCCTGGAAAACAAACTCAGCTAATATTCTGTTAATAATAAGTGGCATCTTTTTATTAAAATGAGGGTCATCAATATCCACCTTAAGAAACAGTTTGCCTATGTACACACATCTCCAAATATTTGGATTTAGTTAATGTTGTAACAAGTTTGGCACTTTGTAGATACTAGTAATAGGATTTTGCCAATTGTTCTTGTTACTGAAATTCAAAAGAGGAAAGATCTGCTCCATAAGATTCAGATTTTCCCAGTGTAGAGGATAGATTATAGATGTGATAAATTTCTTTGGCAGGAAAGGGCATGGGATGGATACAGCAAAGGACTCTCTCCTTTTACCATGGCTCCTAAGTGAACTCTGCTTTACCTCCTAGGCATTTCCAACTTGATAAATTCTCCAGCAACTGACTCTGGGAAGTAGTAAGATAGTTTTGTAATGACCAGCATACTGACAACCACTGGTACACAATTTTTTTTTTTAACTGTGTGGAGGGCGTATCAGAAAGGCTTGGCATTATTCAATGCAAAGAGTGAAATTTGCCATGTGAGCTATAAGCTCCTATGACTTTTCTAAGAACTTCTAGGGGTTACCTTGCACTGATTACCCTTGAATCCTCAAGGGAAAGCATTTTTCAATTTTCCCAGAAATTAATTTAGGACTGATGAGTTCCTAAATTCATTGAATGGATAGATTTGGGAAACAAGAGGCACTATCTTAGGAGATCTGACATTGAGATGGCAGATAGAGATCAATTACTCTTACTGTCCTCTGGTACTGATCTGGCCAGAAACCATTTTGCTGTGTAGAGGCTGAAGTTTGACAAATGGTTTCTGTGGTGGGATTAAAATCCTTTTCTATTTTTATCAGACAGAGGCTTCAAACTCCTATTATGGATGCTACTAAAGACTCACTAAGCACAAAAGACTATTGTATTACCAGGGAAGCCCCATTGCCACCATTCCCTCAGGCTGATGACTTTTGAAAATTAGTCCTCAAATGTATATAAGGAAAATTTCACTCACTATCCTAACAAAATTAGAATTCCTTATCCTCTGGGTAAGAGGCCCTTTAACAGAGCTGAAATACATTAACACATAATTTTATAATTTTCTAGCTATTTTTCTCTCAGCATGAGCTTTCATAATAAAGGTACCTTTTCAAGAACATGAACAAAATATGCTCAAATGAGGAGAAAGCCAAGTCATTATTCTGACTTTAGTTTGAAAGGGTACTTGGCAGAGTGTGGGATTGGGAAAAATTTTCAGAGGAAAAACAGCTTATGCTTATAGGTTCAACATCTTTTTTTTTGTTGTTGTTACTTCTTACAGAGTAGAAGAGCCAGAACACAGAATTTTCTCATGCAGAGAAAGGGCCACTTTCAGTATTCTTATTCAGAAACTTGAAACTAGTTTTGTTTCCCTACGTACTTACCTTTTCTAAGTAGGTATAGCTCCAAATTTTCCCATCAGCCCAAGTTCTTGATATTATTTTTCCACTCTGGTCATATTCCATTTTTTCATTCCATGTCCCTCTTTGAATAAATGTCACCAATCCTGAAGGTGAATATGTGATGTTCACTTCATTATATCTGCTTACGGGAGACCACAGAACGGGTCGCCCAGTTTGGTCATAAAGAATTCGAAGGGTGAATTTTCGATGGTCATCATAGATCTTTCCTGTGCGGGTTATATGATCAAAATCTATGGAGAGCAGGTTTCTGTTATGGGCCTATGAAAAAGAGATATGAAATACATTTTAAGCAATGCTTTGGTTCCTCTCATCTAGTGCATTCACAATCACAAAGCCTTTTCTGATTTTCTAACCATGGGGTCTTTCTCGCCTCTGAATCTTCATGGCTTAACATTTCTCAGATGCCACTTGTATTTTTGTTTTTTGTTATTTTTTCTTTTGAGACAGAAGAGTTGCCCCAGCTAAAGGCTAGAGTGTAGTGGTGTCATCACAGCTCATTGCAATCTCAAATTCCTGGGCTCAAGTGACTCTCCTGCTTCAGCCTCCCAAGCAGGTGAGACTACAGGCATGCACCACCACACCTGGCTGATTTTCCTATGTTTAGTAGACAGGGTCTTGCTCTTGCTCAGGCTTCTGTTGAACTCCTTAGCTCAAGGGATCCTCCTGCCTCAGCCTCCCAGAGTGCTAGGATTACAGGCGTGAGCCACTGTACCCAGCTCACTGACTTTATTCCCCCACCAGAGTGTGTGCTCCCGGAGGGTCAAGACTATGGACTTAATTCCTGGGACGGTACCTGGCATACTCTAGACCTGCAATATGTGGTTGTTGATTGTTTTTTCCCCAGCTCAAGCCTTAATTGCATTGCTATAGTTCTCAATAATTATGTGATCCTATGTTATGTAAGTCGGATGCCTACTAAGAATTGGGGCTTCCTTCTTCCTTCTCACCAGTGACATGGCTAGAACATAAAATGGTGAATTATTTATGTGATTAGAAATCAGAAAAAAGGACTACAGTGAGCCCCCATTAACCAAAACAGAGAGTCTCTTCTTTGGCTTCTTTGTTCACCTGGGCTTGGAGTTACATGATTTCATACCTATCACAGGTGAACTCAGGTTGAGCCCTAGTGATGGAACCCCACTCAGCAATATTTTCATGGAGGCCTGCAGGTAAATGTGGTATGGTAGGTGTTGGTAGGTCTCCTAGCATTTGCAAGGGTGGCACCAGTAACTGAGGTTAAAGCATGGAGTTAAATTTGGACTTCAAATTCAGAAACAATTAGTAGTTTGGCTTGGTTCTGGTTGTAGGCTTCTTCTACTGTATACGAGCATTCCCTCTGGGCACCTCAAAATTTTGTAGTTATCCCAGAGCAAGCCTGATTCAAGGGACCTTGAACTGGATTCCATGAAAGACAGCACTCAATGGCACCTGACTCTGATGAAATTCAGCTGGGTCCACACGAGATTTACTCAATGACTTAGTAAAAAAAATTAAAACTCATGGCTGGGTGCAGTGGCTCACACCTGTAATCACAGCACTCTGGGAGGCCAAGGTGGGAGGATCACTTGAGCTCTGGAGTTCAAGACCAACCTGAGCAAGAGCGAGATGCTGTCTCTACTATAAATAGAAAAATTAGCCGGGTGTGGTGGTGCACGCCTGTAGTCCCAGCTACTTGGAAGGCTGAGGCAGGAGGAGACTCTGTCTTCAAAAAAAAAAAATAACAAAAAGACTTTTACTGGGTTTTCCAAACAACCGGACAACTGACCTAATTTTTTTCCACTTTTTGACTAGTAAGTAGTGTCAGTGTTTGGCAGACCCACCAGAAACTTCTGCTATAACTAGATGATTACAATACAGCCACTTAGAAAATGCAATACTCAAGTAGTTCTTTTGTGTTCTACAAAAAAAAGTTGCTGCTGTTGATTTTAGTTATTAAGGAGGTTCAGTCCCTGCTGGCCAGCACTGAAGAAGGCCCTTTGGAAGAGTGGGGCTTTGGAGGAGGGGTAGGTGGAAAGCTCAGGGAAGGGCCTTTAAAATTTGTTTCATTTTATTTTGGTTTTAGTTTTCATGTTTTTTTAATCTGTTTTGTTTCATTATAACGTTTGATTTTGAAATAATCTGACTCATGAGAAGTTGCAAAAATGGTAGAGTCACCATATACCCTTCACCCAGGTTTTAGGAACAGACTTTTGAGTTTGCATGGAGAGGTTCCAAGTGTATCTGGCAGAAACAAAGGCAAGAGTGAAAAGGAGGGGATTTTGAGAAGTGTAAATAGCAGTAAACTGGAGTCAGGAGACATTCAACAAGCTGCCTGTCTGTGCACCAGTCATTTCTCTATCTGGGCCTTAGTTTTCTTGTCTGTGAAATGAGAATGATGTTACCACTTTACACCACAAAGCTGTGCTAAGAATTAAATGAGAGTACATATACAGGTGCTTGTAAACTGTGAAACATTAGTAATTGTTATTTTTACAATATAATGACTACTTTTCTCATTTTATTTAGGCCTGTGAATAGGCCTATGTGTCAGATTCCAAGGTGATTATAGTTTAGTGGATTAGATTTATATCTGTAAGAACTGTCAACATGATCCTGAACAGAATGTTAAATATCTGGCTAATGAGCTAGGGAAATAAAACCAACATTAGGGTTTGACTGTGTTAATTAAAATCAGACCAAACTGATTCACTTGCTACTCAACTAAATTTTGTTAATTTTTGACTTCTGTAGTCAACGATCTCTTTAAATATCTGAAAGCTATGCAATATGTCGTCAGAAAAATGCACATAAGCTGCATATAAGCACATATACGAACATTTTTGATACAATCTCCTGGAGGCTCCGAACCCTCCCAAAACACAAACATCAAACCTCTAGGAGTCCAAGTTCAAATTCCTGGTTCAGAAAGAGTTTTTATCTTAGTGGCCTGTATGACTGCAAAACCAACATTCTCATATCAGACTCTGGTCTTTTCTTGCTCAGTAATCTTGTGTACTTTGCTTTTTAAAATAACCTCCACTTCCTTATCCCCTGATTATAAAGTGATAACTTTTTCATTGCAGAAAAATTAGGAAATATAGAAATGTATATAGAAACTAATTACCTGTAGTCCCACCCTCCAATGAGAATCACTGTTAACACTTCCTTGCATTTCATTCCATTTATCTTTTTTTTACATAATCTCTGTCCATACATTTAAATCATATAACTAGCATTGTACCTAAAGTTTTGTGTCCTACTTTTTCACCTAATGCTTTATCTTCAGCAATCCTCATGTTTTAAAATATTCTCAAAATATGGCTTTTAATGATTGCATAATATCTTACTACCTGATAAACATTTATTTATCTATTCTCCCATTTGGGAAAATTAGAGTTGTTGTTTCTCATTTTTCTTTCATATTTTGTGTTTTTTTGAAACTTTTTAAAATGAATATTTCCTTAATACAGAACCCTATGAGTGAAATTACTGAGAAAAACATATTAAAAGACTCCCGATGCAACTTGAGAGATTACTTTATAGTGCACAAAGGCTGTACAAATTCATACTCCTATTAAATAGTAGTGGGAAAGCCCATTTCATCTGTCCTTACTAGCATTGTCCTTAATAGCATTACTTACTATTATTGTTAGTAAACTTTTCCCACTATGAGAGTGGGAAAATGGCAGGCTACTGTAGCTTAAATTTGCATTTATTTGATTACTAGTAAGGTTGAACTCTTTTTAACATCTATTGGCCACATGTATGTCTTGTATGAATTGTCTGCTCATGACATTTGACATTTTTCTACTGGGGTGTTGCACTTTATGTTTTAAATCTCTTTCGGTTTCAGTTTCTTCACCAGTCAGCTGGGGCTAATGATATTTGCCCTTAATTTTGAACTTTTGCAAAAAATGACCTATCAAATGTTCCATGCCATCAATTCTATCCAGAAGACTAGTGATTAGATACTTAAATTATTTGGGGAGGAAAGTGTTGTTAGTCTCAGGTGTAGGTTTAATTTAGGGAATAAAGCCACAGATTGGGAATCATGACTCTTTAAACCATCTGTAGCCAATGCATGCAGTGTTGTCTTGCATAAATATATGGTAACCTGCTGTTATCACCTAAAAGGTGATAGGGAAGCATATATTTCCTGTCTTTTGATATGCTGGGCTTGGAAGCCTATAGGTACCAGGTGTTCTTTCTTCAACTACCCTTCCTGTGGTTTTATAGCCACATATCTCCAACTGTAATACCTTTCATTTACAATAGCTGTAAAATATCCATGTACTCCCAGAGACGGTTGTAACTATTACAATTTATGTTATAATGATAGTTAAAGAGCCAAAGTAACAAGTGATTTCTAGTTCAACTAAATTTGTGGTTTTATTTGTCTGATAGATTAAGTTTACTACTCAAGAACACATTTCTTAATAAAGTCATTACAGCTACACAAGCAGGGATCACTGTTTAAAATCCACCACAAAGCAAGCAGAACAACTCTGCCTGATGTTTTTTCTCTGCCTGTGAAGACTTCTGTAACTGTGGTTCTCTGTTTCTGGATAATATACCCTGATATTCCCGTGCTGCTGAAAAACTAGTTTCAAAGTCAGGTTTGTAAGCTAATGTAAAATTTGGCTAAGAGCTGAAAGGGCATGACGGTATTGAAGATACCCCCTTGAGTCTCCTGTGGAAACCACGTGTGAAAAGCCTGGGAGAGAGAATGCTTTTCCAGGTGAGCTCTCCCAACCTCTTTCTTGAGTACTTAATGTGCCACCAGTCCCTACTGCAGGAATCAGAACTAGGTTGAATGCCACTGACTGCCGGGGTCGTGGGCAAGATTGGGAAAGCTCCACGTTCATAGAAGTGCTTGCTTTCCTGAACGACGATAGCTCTTGACCCACGTGTGGGTCGTCAATCCTTATTTACACTCTTCCCCCAGTCTACATCAATCCTTTCTCTGGACAAGAGAGGGGCAAAAAAATAAAAAATAAAAAAAAATAAAAAGGTTGCAATTTGGGAATAGCTGCAAGTTCAAAAGGGTCTCTTTGGACAGTTGCACACTGAAAAAAGACCTTTGGGTTTGGCAGCTGATGAGCTGTATGTTGTGGTAAGAAAGCTGGACTTAGTAATTTTTTTCATAGGGGAAGATGTATTTATGTTGTAATTTATCCTTTGGCTTTCCTTATTTTTTATTTTTATTTTTTTTAGCTATACTAAGGAGGAGCAAGGAGAAGGGCTTGATTTTTTTTTGGGGGGGGGTCACACTTGGACCA